GCCCAAAGAGGTAGCAGATAAGGAAAGTATCTAGGAACCATAACAGATTCTTCAGGCAGATGGGAAGTGAAGCAGACTCATTCTTTGCTCTCAGGCATATTTACTGCCTTTGACATACCACAGGTTTTACTGCACTTCTGTGTGAAAGGTCTGCTAAAACTAGGAGGCGCAACAAATCTTTTTAAGATGATCTGTGTCAGCTATCAGAAACTCTTTAACTCCTTGATTTTCCTGTTCTGGTTACAGTCCTTTGATTCAGAATTTTCTCCTTTGTTATGAGTTAGCAATGGCTGAAGATCAGCAGCAGATGATGTATAAGTAGAAACCTAATTGCAAAGAACAACAGTAAAAGAGGTAATCTTTCTACTATGGACATGCAGACAGCAACAATAAATCCTAACATTTGCACATACGAATTTCCCTTCTGAAATAAAATCCTTCTCCTTTAGCACTATGGTGATTAAATCTAATGTTCACTATTACTGATGAAAGTATTTTTAAGATCTCTAACTATGCATAAAGGCAAACAAAAAGATTCCTCTGTGAGAAATAGCAAGAAAATGAAATTTAGAACAAAAGCATAATTCTTAAGAGGAATCATTCATGACAAAGCAGGTCTATTTTTAAATTCATTTCCATATAAAATGTTTTGTTTTAGCAGTAAATGTTAAGTAGTTTCATGTTGTTAGTGCATCCCAATGTCTTTGCCAAATAATGATATTTCATGTGCTGCAATCTTTTATCTTTACAAATTCAAATGTACAGAAGATCATACTGTGCAGTCACGGCAGATTTAATAACTGACATGAAATCAGGTCATTAGAATTTTGTACAAAGCAAGAATTTCTTTTTTCTTCTTAACCAAAATCTCTATTTTACAAAAAATGCAGGTCCCCCTTAAAAGGTATTATACAGATTTATGGGCACTTTACAAAATTCTTTGTTTAAAGAAAACTTTAAAATATCCCCAAACTATTTATGAAGTCAATATGAAGTGTATTTATTTTGGCATGACAACACATTCTCCATTTTAAGGTATCATTTTTTTAAGTATTTGAAAGTGTTCATGAACTAAATTAAACTTTTTTTCCCCAAAAATAGTATGTGATATTTTGGAGTAGTAAAGCGAAAAAAACAAATGCATTTATCAAGGTGCTGGGGTAACTGACTGGGCAAAGTCCATCTTTTTTCTTAAAGATTGATGTGGAAATTTTTGGCTGCGTGATGGTTTCTGAATTCATCAACAGAGTGAGACAAAGGGTAGAGGTAGTATTTTCTGTGCAAACCATAATAATTACGAAGCATATAGACAATCTGGAGATCTTGGACACTTAGCAAAAAATGGTTATACCATGTTTTGACACAATGAGCTGCCATCTTAAGACAGCAGAACATTGATCAAGATTTATGGGCATTTCTCTGCCTTCTGCAGCACAGTTAGATCTTTCAAGAGCTTCAAGACCCCTAGGTGTACTCTAAAACTGAAAACTGATATAAGGATCAGATGACATTTTTTTCATTAACCTATTCTAACCTAACCACAACCATGCATTCAATATGCATGCCTCTTTCATGAACATTGTCTATTGTCAATGAACTCTCTATTGCCATTTTTCATTCAGTTCCATTTCTCAGAGAAACCACCAAGGAAACAAGGCTCCTTGCACTGCATGTGTAGAGGAAGATCTGTTACATCATTTATTGCTGAAATGTAAAGCACACAGTCTTACCCTAGCTTCACTGCCACACACATACTGAAAATGAAAATGATGATGTTGAGGCTGGGTCTGAGCAGTACTTTTTATAAGGTGATGGATGAACAAGTGAACTTTTCATTATTTGGGAAAATACCATGCTAGCTAATTCGGTACAATCTTTCCTATATTTCTAGAACTGGGCAAGCAGCTTCTTAGTCAAATATTTTTCAGCTGCTTTGGAGATGTCAAATATTTTTGAGAGGTTTATCACTATAAATAAACACACAAGTCCACGTCCAGCAGGAATCTCCCTGTTGCTGCCAACAGTGCAGTTTCTGCTTTGCTTTCTAGTTTGTACAGAAGGGGAAGAACAAGAGATGTATTTTGCTGGAAATGGAACAATTCCAAAGGACTAATTCAGCCCTGGTATTTTCTCTAAGGCTGAGCCAAAGACATGCAATGAACTCCTTGCAACAATGAAGGGCCATCATAAAACTCACTATTCCCTTCTTTTAAGCAGACAGTATGATTTCATTCATCTTGTCTTTTGTGACATATGTATTCTATAAAAACACAAAAACACACAAAGGCAAGCTAATCCACTGAACGTGCTCTCTCCTTTACAGACTGATTGAGAGATTGAGCATGCACACTCTTCAGTTATATTGCCGTTTCTCCTCTGGAACATGTTCAGCATGTCCAGCTTCAGCTTGTATGGGATATATATGCACTGAATTATCCCCAGAAAGCATGAACACTGGCAGTAGCAGCTGGACAGAAGGCAGGCCCCTTGCCTGGAACTCCAAAAAAATGTAGGGAAGGGGAGAGGAAAGAAGCAGCTCCTAACTCACAGCAGTTCCCAACACTACTGAAGCTTTCTTCACTGATGGCAACTGCCTGAGAAACTTCCCCTTTATGCAACTGCGCAGGAATAAACTGGGAAGCAGCTCTGTTGCTCTCATTCCCTGGAAAAGATACTTTGGTGGTCACTCACTAACCCAGAGAGAACAAGGAGGGAATCAGAAGGAAGAATCCTTTTGTTTCCTAATGTTTAGTCTTATATTAAAATAGGTTATTGTTGCAAGACTGATTTTACATTACTGTTCCTGTCCTATCGCACTGTGCTATCACTCAAATATTTATTAATCCCATTTGGTCACTACTCTATAACTCATGCCAAATTATATCACAAACTCTCTACAAAATTCCACTGAAATAGGAGGAAAAAAAAAACAACAGATAACTTCATTAAACAAAAAACATTTACATACAGAATATCTACATTAACTATTATCCAAAAGTTTCAGATTCAGAGGCTTAAAGTTCTCCCAGATATGCAGTCCACATTAGAGACTAATCTGAAGAACAGAAAAGCACTAACCAGGACAGATATTAACTGAAGCAATAAAAATGTAAGCCTGTAAGTATAGGACAACTACAGCCTAAAAGATTTTTTCTAAATTAAATTTTGTAAGAGGTTTATCTGATTGGTGGACAATAAATTCAAATTATGTCTACTGAAATCAATATAGCAATCACATTTTGTATCCTTGAGGAGCCATCAGTAGCCAATTGTGAGACTGCAGAAACCTTGACTTAAATTAGAAGTTGTGGTTTGATTGCCTACTGTTGTGTTTCCAGTGATGATGTTTTCTGTAAGAGGAGCTGAAATGAACAGACAACAACATATGAAACAAGAAACAGTGTGGTAGAAACTTACTGCTTGAATTAGGCAGTATTAGCCTTTACTACAAATTCTATACTTTAAATATAACTTATTTCCATATGCTATTGTCCAGTTAAGGGAGCTAAATACAGTTGTTATCTTCAGACAAGCAAATATATCTTGTAATTATGTATTGAGGGAAAGAAAAAAAGCCAAGCATATTTTAGCTAAATATTCTTTTCATAAAAAAAGTTATTTTTGAAAGAGCCACAATGTCACCCTTATATACCTAGAAAAAAATGGTTGTCAATATTCACGCTTAGATTTTGTCTGAATTAAACTATTTACTTTCTATTTTCTTTCCTTTTGCACTGCCTGATAAAAAAAAAAAAAAAAAAAAAAAAAAAGCAATTGCAGATTGCTCTCTGTATGTTCCCTTGTATAACAGCAGTATTTTTCAGGATTTCATCATTTATATTATTTTAAAAAGTAAATAAATGAGCTCACTTATTTTACTGAGCCACTTCACAAATTATCAATAATTATACTAACAGTTGTACTACTCTGAAGAACAAAAATCTAGAGACATTTTTGAAGTCAAGCACCTTCCAAGTAATGGCTTTTCTCTCCTTTACTTTTCCACATTTTTTTTTTTCAGTCCCTTCTCTTCATTACCTCCACCTGGGTATTTTCTGAACAGGATATGCATAAAAGCTTCTGCATACTGCAAATACAAGCCCTTCTACAGAGCCATGAAGTCCACCAGCTCTCATTTCTTCCACCAGGATTCAGCTTTCTTAAAGCTGCTTCTGAAGCTTGGAAAAGGATGTTGTATTAAGATCTGTAAAGCACCACTTTTGGCAGTCAAGTACATCTTAGCAGAGCTGCTCACAATTCTTCCCACAGCTGAGAATGCAGTGTGCCCAATCTATCATTAATCTTTACTGTCGCACACAAAAAAGTTCCTAAGAAGAGTGAAGTCACCACCCACACCCATCGCAGAGGGGATAATCCGAGTTTTCCGTGACGCAATGCGACTGAAAAGACCATTACCAAAATCCTCTCTACTCCATCAAAGATATATATGTTATTTACACACCAGATAATTATTTCCCTATTTAACCTCTTCTACTGTGAAATACAGGCAGCTATGTCTTAGCAAACTAAAATAATCATCTAAAACATAGTGTGCAACACTCTATGAGACTGCATTAAAGAATCAGTGAAAAATGACAGGGTTAATATCAGGGCATTTTGTTTGTAAAGGGCAAACAGCATTCAATTATTGCATTCAAACAAATAACTATTTTATATTCCAACTCAAACACAGCCTAGCTTTTTTTTTTAACTCTTTTTTTTTTTTTGTGTGTGTGTGATTTCAGATAGACTTTTCTTCTATAAAGACAAGAAACATAAGCCTTAAGTCTCTGATACTAAATTATATAACAAATAACATCTTATCAACAGGTACCATTCTTTATCTTGCCTCCAGTTTAGAATGTTAAATTGTCTGTATGTTACATGACAAGATTTTCTTGTGCTGGTTTCATAGTCTCTAGGAGGAGACATATGAATACACAAACTGTGAATATTTCCAGCACTGCTCACTCCCTCCCCTTTTACCCCCAGAAGTTTACCAATGCGCAGAGCAAGTCAACTGCTTCCAAGATAAGCTCCTGATGACCAATGCGTGTGACTCCAAGATCTTCTAGTTCTTGATGAGTAATCCGTAGTAGCTGGTCACCACTGATCTTCTCTCTCTCAAAATTCTTAATATATTGCTGCAGACAGTCATCCAAACCTGCCGAAACAGGAGGAGAGAAGGAAAGTGGAAAGTTAGCAACACCTAGTCATGTATGGGAAGATGAATCAAACTGGACTGGAACCAAAAATCAAGCCAGCAAAGGATACATGCCCTAATTTGAAGCAAAATATATAAGCACTGTGCAGGTAATACCATTTTATGGTGCCCTGAAACCATAATACATAGGGAAGCAGAGTGGCTTCCTGGCCTTTTCTGCCTCTGGACAATACCTTGAAGCCAGGACAGAGCCCTGAATTTTTTTAGTATACCGTGTCATAAATGCACATCTGACAGCCCTTTAATAAGTAAGCTAGCAATGCCTCCATTACACAAGGAAGAGGAGAATAAGGAGAAAGGGAAGATCCCATGGTGTAGAGGGCCTGCTGGAGATGTCCACAGCTAGGAAATGTGTCTCTTTGTGGAATACCTGACTCGGATGCCCCATTAAGGGGCATAAAAATGGTAATGCCACATCACAACGTCATATCTCTCCTCCCCCAAGAACAAATGCACCAGGATGAACTTCTTGGCAGTTCTCGGATCATACCAGCCCAAAAGGTTTGGAGAACAAAAAGGCTTTGGCAGAGGGCTTTGAAGAACAACAAAGGTGAAGGCACAACAATCTATAAACTAAGTTCCCAGCTGCAATAGCAGATCCAGCTCAGCTTATCGAACATGAAAAGCCGTTCATCAAGATCTGCATTATGCTGCAAGCAGTGTAACTGGGGAGTAGAAACATGTACATTATGCCAGGAGACCCTAAAAGTGGATGCAACTTGTCTGTCCAGGACACAGAGGAATTTCTATTCCAGTTTGTACTGGATCAAGTGCTGGTTTGGGTGATAGGTACTGAGGAAATCTGGACCACCCATGCTCTAGTTTTCAGTTTGCGTGCCAATGGAACAACATGTAGGTGACTACATGTTTTTGCCTGGAGCAAAAAGCACTGCAGAATTGTGCTAATCTGTCCTGCATTTCCTACCGTGCACAGCTAGCACAGCACAGGGATATGCTGCAGCACATGCTTGCCTAAAGGATGAGGAAGACCCCTGGATTTTCAGGGTTGCACGCTGAAATCTGTGCCAAAGAGATTGCCCTCTGATGGAAGAATATACTCGCTACTTGCTACTATTTGATGAAGCCCAGAATACACTAACTCAGTTCCATCTTAAAACATACCATCTCCCTGATGGCTGTCGTCGAACAGCCACAGCCAGCTCTCTGTAATGAAGAGAAAGGATCTGCTCTTTACCTTGTATGGATTAGACAAATTTGTACTTCTTTGTGGAAGAGAAAGGATCCATCTGACTGCGGCTTCTTTCTGTGGAGCAGGAGAATGACAAGAGCCCCACCTTACAGCAGAGGCTTCTCTGGGAGCGATTTTGCAGCAGTTTCCTTTATCTTTATCTTTCACTGCCTCCAGGGGCAGCCTCGTGTCCAAAGAGAATCACACCAAAAAAATATCAGTCCTTAGGCAGGAGCACCCACTGCTAGCTCAGCCTGCTGCTCCTAGGGCACATGCTTTGCCCTTGCTACATCTCACCAATCCCCTGCACACACCAACACAATCTTCACATGGCTTCAGTTTTCAGAATCTGTGTGCCAAAACCTAAACCTCTAGCAAACCCACTGTAAATAAAACCTTCAGAGCCCACGACACAGGAAATTTTCTTTATCCAGTCCCCAAATTCAGCAGCCTCTGCCTACCTGACCATCTCCTTCCACAGTCTGCAACAAGATTTCCCGTCTCAAAAATGAAACCACTTGCAAGTAGTTAATCTGGCATTTTTGCATTATTTTCAATTTATTTCCTTTTCTAATTAATACTTGCTCAAATCATCAACACACTCTTTTACAATATATTAGCAGAGAACAAAAATGATGATCTGGGATTGATCATGTATCACATGTTGCCATGCAATCTGGTCTCTGCTATTTATGATCAGCTTGAGAGGAGCTAAAAATTCTCCTCTAATTCTACAATAAGGAAAGAAGAATCTGTTAAATTCTCAATAAGAACAACAATCTACCTTTTTTAAAAAAAAAATTTTTTATTCTCCTATAGATGATAAAACTGAATCATCAGAACCACTAAGACTGATCCTAAAATGACGTGGTTGCCAAACACATTAAAGAAGAGAGAAACATTCACAAAAGGCCAAAGCAACATGGCCTGCTGCTTTGTGGGGTGTCATACATACCCTGTATCTTTGGTATTATTCCCTTTACACAAATGGATACTCAGGTTCTGGCCCTAAAGCAGCTTGTTAAACAAAAATAAAGTGTCAGCGTGGAAGGGCTATGATGCAGAAAAGGAAGATCTTAATTTCTTCCTTGCTTCGACACTGCTGCTTCAGAGCACCTCAGAGAGCAAAGTGCTGTGTGTTCCCAAGGCATTTGGGTGACAGCCTGCTATACGTCCAAATGTTGCCGTTGTGCTCTCGCACACCAGGCAATGCTCATGATCAATAGCAAGCAGATAAGCAGCAATGAGAGTCAGACAACATTTTACTAAACAAAACTTATCATTTTGGCCTGACACCTGGATGAAAGGCCACTTGCAGATCTGCAAGAACTCATTTGGTCATAAAAATGAAATATAAGTTGTACACAGAAGTATTTTTCCTCCAGCCCTCTTGAATTCATTTTACTTGTTCACACACACACACACACACACACACAGCCGTCACCTCAAGGTATCTGACAAGAACCTTCCTGATTTATCCATATTTGTACAGGTTTCATTCAGGAGCTCTTTGAAGCCTAATTCTTATCTGGTAAACTAATTCCATGAACTATTTTACATGTGCAGTGTCATGTATAATAGTATTTACTTTTTTGAAAGAAAATTAATATTCTTGACAATACATAAAACACTTCAGCTAAAAATGTACTGAAAACAGATAATACGTGCCTTTGCTAGATGACTAAAAACAAAAGCAGGAAGTACTTCTGTGATTCCTAAGCTTAAGTCTCACTCTGCTTACATACACTGCTGAATGAGAACAATATCATTAAAATGTTGAACGTCATCAGGCTCAAAAAAAAAAAAAAAAAAAAAATCATGATCATGACAGACTTATAATACAAATTCAGAAAGAGATATGACAGATGCATTTAATAAACAGACTAAGTTAATTCTAAATAAAGCCAGTACTCTTCCTCCTATGTATTTTAACACTCAGCTATAATACAGATTGATAGGTATAGTTCATACAAGGTAAGAAAAAAAATAAAGAAAATAAAAACATTACTGACAATTGCTTGACTCACCAAATTCGTAATAAAACACATGCAGGGAAGAACAAAATAATTTTAATGTAGATTGCATGGCATTTGCAGAACAGCTTGCCACAATTACTTCTTCTTTCTCCCTAAATAGACCATCCTTTTTAAGTCATTTATTTCTGTCATTCTATTCCTTAATTTAAAAGCAGCAATGCTTTTTGTAAATAAAACTGTACATAATGTTAAAAAGAAAAGTTGGCCAGCTTTGCTCACCCACCCCTTTGACTTCCCAAGACATGGCAGATAGGGCTGCTGGCTCCAGCAGGCAGCCAGAGGGGAGTAGTAGAGGAGGCAGCATCCTGGCCGATAAATCCATTTAACCTGGGGCAGAACAAGATGTACCTTGAATGGCCAATCTCAAAAGCCTTCCATGCAGAAGCCCATCCTTCCTTGGAGCTCTCTTGTCTTTCTGTAACACCAACATCCATCCCTCCCAACCTCACCACCCTAAGAAATTTCTGTAATTGCCACTCTGTGATGCTCTTCTACCTGCAGACGGCCTCCTAGCCAGGGGTGTCACACAGCCCAGGAGCAGCAGCAGCCCCAGCACGCACCCCAGCTTGATGCACTGTCCGCTGCTCCTACCTGTCAGTGCGATTAAGGGTGCCCAGCATCTCATGGTCCTGGGCATCTTAAAAACAGTGGCCTCTATCCAAAATTCAGGCTAGTCATTACAGTACATCAGACACGTTTTGTGATGCCAACAAAGAAGTCACGGTCTTGTACACAACAGCAAAAATCACCTCACACCCACCTACAGACACACAAATAATCTCTGCAGAATCTTGTGGGTATATGTAAAGGAACAAATACTTCAAGAATAAGGGTGATTAACGTAAAATCATCCAATGGTACTCTCCTTCATTTTAGACCTGGCCTTTAAAAGGAACTCTATACAATTTCACTTTTTTTTTTTTCCTGCCTCATTTCTAAAGGAGGGTAGTCTTTTTACTTCGCTCATGACTCACAGACTTCCAAGGCTGTTACTTACAATAAAGTCTCTCCTCCACTTAGGATGCTTCCACCTGAGCTCATCAGCCATGGGGTTTGTCAGTGCTGTCCTGCTATACACTCATAACCTAGCTGGTTTCACTGGGGCTTAGAAGAGCAAATGTTAATACATAGTACATTTTGTTTGGCTTGAGTACCACTGAGGTACTATGTACCCACATTTACTCTCCTGTGTATTAACAGCAAAGGGGCAACTTTTTGTATTAAATTCAGTGCAAGTGCTACCTTGTCTGTGACACTAAGCAGATAAAAACAATAGCAAAAATAGCAGCAGCTATTATAGCAGCTCCTCCAAAAGAAATAGCTCAAAAGCCAATGTGTTTAGCACCAAAAAGAAACTTCTCTAGAAAAATTCCTCTTGAAACATGGCCTGGCCTTGCCTTTTTTTTTTTTTTTTTTTTTTTTTAACAGAAGTAACAGAAATGGCTATGTAAAATATAGATTACACACATGAAAGTAGAGTGATAATATATATCCGGTATAGCAAAGCTGCATATTTGTTTACCTTGAAAATAAAAACAAGACTAAAGAGTAAATGAATCCTTTTCTAAATGTGTCTTTGTGAGACCAGTGCACTCCTAAAAGGTATTTAAAGCACATTATCTTTCTCTATACCTAAGTCTGAACTCCAATTTTTCTAATCAGCTACTCAGACATACATGAGAAGATACGTCTCTAAAAAGGGTAGCATGTGGGTA